ATGCCGAACGCAGCCAGTCGCAGGTCGCGTCCTGCTCGCGTGGCGGAGGGGACCTGGGCTCCCTGGTCTGAAAGGTTCCCGGTGGCGCCTCTGCCCTGCCCTCACCCAGTTTCTTCCTCTGAAGTGTGACTGAGGCCATGCTGCTCATTTTCACCTTATCTGCCTCACCGTATTCCAAGGAGTCTGTCTGAGATACACACAGCTTGTCAAGCTGTAAATTTAAAAAAACAGAGATAAATATTTTTTTCCTGCTAGATAAAGGAAATAAACCCATTTGGCCTCGCTGCCCTTTGTCCTTAGAAGACCCATCTCAGGCTCAGCGACACGGTTCACCTGCTTCTGCAGGCACGTTGCGTTCAGGGTCCTCTGCTTTCACACCCCTTCGGCTCAAAGACGGGCCGCAACTTCCTGCCCTGAGCTCAGGCGCTCCTTCCGCAGCCCGCTCCTGTTTAGGTGCTGCAGGCAGCATCCCCTTTTTCCAAGTTTCAAAGGAGATCCGCAAGGCAGAGCTCTCCCCACCATCTGCGGCCGGGCCCAGAGCGCGGCTGGATCCCACCTTGGTCCCTCCTCATCCCCAGAGCTCCCAGGCACAGCCCTGTGCTCCCTGGGACCCTGTAAGCTGGGCACCTCGGTACCTGCCCGGCATTTCCCATCATTCCTCCCTGTTCTAGCTATTATTACTAAAGAAAACATGCCGATGGCCATTCTCTTGCCCGGTGGCCGACGGACACAGGACTGCCCGCATCCTCCCTACTTCAGAGAGGAGCTTGTTTCATGCTCAGGCGTAATAGGAGAGTTGATTTCAAGTGCTCCTCATCTTCAGGCAGGGTGGCTTACAGACTGGGTAAACTGTTGCAGAGAAACTATTTATTTATGTGGCTTATCAGAGAGAAGAGGTGAGCTGATTGCAGAGCTGAAGTGCCTTCCTGGGGAAGGTGCTGGCTACTAACAGGTTCCTCAGCCCTGCTGCAAAGGCACAGTGGGAGCTGAAGGCCGACTGGCAAGTGCAGAGGATGGGAATTGGGAACACGGTTTTAAACAGGAGGAAAAACTGTTGGTGGGAGGCAGCCACCCCTGTCCCTTAAGTGCCTGTTCTGCAGGAGGCACAGGTCAGCCCGGCTGCCGGGCTCAGCAGACGAGCGACGGAGCCCAGGACAGCCTGTGCCGCTTGCAGCCTTCTGCGGGTGCCCACAGGGCTCGGCCGGAGGCTCTTGGTTTTGGGTGTGCTTTAGGAACGTGTCCTCTCTCTCAAGAAAAAACAGCCGCAAGCCCATGGCAGCTCCACGACCGGCAGAGGCAACTCGCTGGAGTCCCTCTGTGCCCACAGCCAAGCTGAGAGCGCAGTCACAGACCCCTGGGGGAACCCAGAAGGGTTCACCGCGATGGCAGAGACAACCCACCTGCCAGGGAGCTTTCCTGCAGAGCTCGGGAGATGGCAGGGCCGCCCTTCCCGGCCACCGGCCTTGAAAGCTGCGAACAGAGGCCGCGGGGGGCTCCTCTGCTCCGGGGCCATGTCCAGCCCCGCTGCACGCATCGCCCTGTGCCAGCACAAGACACCCAAGCAAATCCTATCACCTGAGCCCCTCGCTACCTCCTGGCCCCTTCAGCTTTCCCAGGGCGGCCCTGTTCTCTCCTCCATCCCCGCCTGCCGCAGAAGGTGTCAGAGGCATCAAGGGGCAGGAGCTGTCAGAGGCAGAAGCGGAGCTGTTGCTACGCAACCCCGGCGGTGCAGCAATTAAGGCTGGGGAAAACGTGCTGTGCTCCAAAGCTATTTGCATAGCTGCGTGCTGCAAGACATTTGTTTGCATTGTGCCTCTACTGTTTAGTGGAGTTTGAAGTCAACCCTCCCCCAGGTCTCGCTTTGGGGCGGGGGGGGAATCGGGGCTTCCAACAAAGGCCACGCGCTTGGGGATGATGGGGCTGGGGGAAGGCAGGGGTTTGTCTGTCCGTGACACCTATACGCTGCACAGGTGTAGGATTTACAGGATGGGGAGGAAAGGGCCAAGTTATCTGGATTTCACCCTGTGCAGCCCGAGGAGCTTTGCTCCCCTTGCAGAACCAGCTCCTGCTGTGCCCCTGAACTGCTGGTGGGGTTGCACGTCTCCCCTTTTCCAGGGGCACCAGGGTGACACTGCGCTTGCTCTGCTTGCCAACGCCAGAAACGGAGCTCTGGGGGCAGCCCAGCCTGCCTGTGGCTCGGGAGCGTATCTGTGGGGGGAGCAAGGGGGAGAAGAAAGAGGGAGAAAGAAAGCAGCTGGTTCATACCAACCTACCTGGGACGCTAGTCTCCGAAAACCTGCCGATTGCCAACTGCAATCTTCTGGTTTGCCCTACCCAAGTCTCTCACTATTGAACATAAAGCCTGTGCCCTTTTTGGGTTTCCTTTTTTAGCCCTTGAACATCGCTTTGATTGATTATAAGTTTACAGGTATGTTTTGTACCTCAGAGGCACAAGAAGCAGCAGCAGAACAGAAGTTCAAGGCTAAGTGTTTCTATTCCTTTCAGACCACTCTAAGCACCAGGATTATGGTTCTACAAAAGAA